TAGTTCGGCGATGTGGAGGTCCGCTCAAATGGCTATCAGCCGACAGCCGCTGATGCCAACAATGCACGCGCCAACGATGAAGAACACGACTTAGTCGATATTGTCGGCGATTATCTGCAGGGACACGATGTTACCATGGACTTGCCTCTGGGTGATGCCAAAGTCACCGTCTCTTCACGCAATTTGGCCAACGATGAGTTGAGTCTTAATGTGAAATTGGCCGGTGATGGTGTGGTTGAGGGCAAGGGTAAGAAGGGCAACTTCTTCAAGAAGGGTGTGTGTTTGTATTTGCATGCGATTTTTGTCTAAACCGACACCAGAACACTCTTGTGAAAAAAGCTAAATAATTAATTTCTCTCTGTTTGCACGTTTTTTTAGGCAAGAAACATCGTTTGCGTAAATTGATTACGCCATTGATGGTGTTGATTTTGCTCAAATCCATGACTGTCATTCCAATGGCCATTGGCATACTGAAAATAAAGGCTTTCAATGCGTTGGCGTTGGGCTTCTTCTCATTCATTGTGTCGGTTGGTTTGGCCATTTTCCAATTGTGCAAGAAGGTAAGTCTAATCGAAAATATTTTTCTATTTTTCTTTGCAACGCTTCTAGGCTGTCGTGGGCTGTTGAATGCATAGGCAGGATGTACTGCAATAGAATCAGAACAAAAAAACAAAGAAAAAAAAACATTCCAACAAAAAATATTTACTTAATCAATTTATATAGCAAATCTATTTCTATCGAAAAAAGTGTAGCAAAATCGCGGGCAAACCATTAGTGTGGGCAGAAAGTATTTTTGTAAGAAAATTTATTTTGGGTAAGTTTTTTACCAAGCTAATCCTAGACCCCTGTTAAATACCCGTTTCAAAAACGTTTAGCTAAACCACAGCGCCACTTAATGTATATATCATCCCAAGTCCTTTTAACCCCTAACTTGCATACATACTTTACACTATGTGTCTTTGGTACTAGGAAATGTAAGCAATCATAGGGCCCAACTCACGGTACTCTCGCACTACTTTTTAATAGTGACAGAACAAACATTTCTATTAAAAAAATCATACTTTAGTCGTAGAAAGGCAGATAACCTTTTTTTAATTGTATTAATAGCATTCTAAAATTCGGGTAGTTTCAAGGTCATTCCATAAATCAAATCAACTTGATATAAAAA